GTCAATCTGCCTGTTCGGAATTGGAATCTCATTTATTCACTCTTGGCCCTCAAGATAGGCTAGACCGAGGCAGTGCCAATGGCAACTATTGAATGAGGATGTAAGGGAAGATAGAGGAGCATCATTTTGTTGAACCCCTGATTTCATTTGAATAATGATCACTTTTCTTCTCTCAGTCATAAAATTGTTATTCTTTTAAAATTATTCGAACTGAAGTAATCTGGTACTTTAGTTAGTATTTTGATTAAAGTAATATATGTGCATGGCTAAAAAAAATGCTAAAGGCTTATGGATGATAAATCCCCTTCTCATGTCTTCTCTCCTCATTTGTTAATGTAGTTAAGTCACAATTTTTGGTTAAATTAATTACTGATATTTATATTATGCCTTTTCTTTTCCTATCTTGATGGATTTTGTACATTAGGAATAGTATTCCCTGCAGAACCAGCAGAGCTTTCTGGTTTTTTTTAAGATTTTATTTGTCAGAGAGAGAGGGCACAAACAGGGGGAGCGGCAGGCAGAGGAAGAAGCAGGCTCCCCGCTGAGCAAGGGGACTTGCCTGATGCGGGACTCGATCCCAGGACCCTGGGATCATGACCTGAGCCGAAGGCAGACGCTTAACAACTGAGCCACCCAGGCGCCTCCCAGCAGAGCTTTCTAAAGCAGCAGCTAACATTTATTATTTACTATAGGCCAGGCACTGTTTTCATGTATTAATTCATGTGACTCTGTGTGTGAGATTAGGTACTATAGATATTCCCATTTTACCAATGAAGAACTTAGGGCACAGAAAGGATGAGTAACTTGCCCAGGGTCATATGGCTAGGCATTCCAGCTCTAGAAACTAAGCCTTTAACCATTATGAATACTTGCTTCTTGAAAAATCCTACCAAGTAAGGAAATAAAGATCCTAGTCAAGAATTTGAAGTTGTACCGGGATTTTAAGGCTCAAATTTAGCTTGGGAGACAAGGATGTTCAATGGGAGGAACCCAAGAGAAACAAGTATATGCCGTAAGGTTGGTAGAGTTGTTTTCTTTTCAGTGGCTTATGTTTGTAAATAGTTCTTGCAATGCCTTGCCCAAGCTCTCATATTTTCCTGAGCATATCTTAATTGTCTACCAGAGAATCTTCATGCAAATTCTGGATAAAGAGGCAATCCAAAGCATTCAGTTAAGGCGCCCAGATGTTGGACATTTTTAATATGAGGATATTAGCACAGAATTTTTGAAGTTGGAACAGTCCTGGAAAACAAGAAATTTATTATCACATACGTGTCATTGATCAAAAGAAGACTGGATAAGAAGGTATGAAAGTAGGTGCAAATTTCACCAGATTAGCAAACAACTGTAAGATCCCTTTTTACTAGAAATAATAGCATATAATGGCATTCTGCATTTCTTCCTTCCCCATCTAATGTATACATTTGTGAAAACTGTTAACCTTTTATTTTTTTTAATAATTCTGGCATTATAAACTCACTCCAGCACTTACCTCCATCTAATGGGCTCATTTTAAAGCCAGTTGCATTGCTTATAAAGGTAACCTTAAGGCAAAGCTTGGGACAACTGGGATAGGGCCAGTGAGTTGTTAATAATGGAAGAATTGACAGGATCCAGAAAATGGGGTGAGTCCATACCGCCTAAAACATGTGCAGCCAACTGATCCCTTCCTAGCTGTAAAAACTGTAATATTGTGTATATACACACACACATAATATATACTGTACATCAAAATGAAGCCCAGGGACTCCTGGGTGGCTCAGTCGGTTAAGTGTCTGCCTCTGGCTCAGGTCATGATCCCAGGGTCCTGGGATCGAGCCCCGCATCGGGCTCCGTGCTCAGCGGGAGGCCTGCTTCTCCCTCTCCCACTCCCCCTGCTTGCGTTCCCTCTCTCGCTGTGTCTCTCTCTGTCAAATAAATAAATAAAATCTTTAAAAAAAGAAAAAAATGAAGCCCAGAGATTTGGTGGGAAACTGTGTATCTTCATGCCAGAGCCACCACAAAAACAATCCGGCCCCTCTTCTGGTGTAAGCTAGGGAATAAAATGCTAAACATATCACCAGCCCATTGCTTTTACCCCAGATCGATTTTGACTAGCACAGCTTGCGACTGTTTACATAGAGAGAAGGGGGAGCAGGTTCAGAACGGGGTGTCGGCCTCCTGTTCCTGACGTGCATTTTAATAGGCCACCTGACAAGATCAACAGGAAGAAAAGAAAAATTGCGAACAGGTGTGAGGGAGCCTGAGGAAGATGGTCCTGCCCCTCCCTCCTTCTTAATCAAGTTGGCACATTGCTCTGATGCCGGGATTCTCTGGCTTATACTGGAGGCTGTGCTAATGGCCTCCAGTGTGGGGCTTGACGAACGGGGCCCAGAGTCCCACACTGATTCCCCTGTGCCTTAAACAAAAGGAAAACGGGATTTTTGTCTGGCTGGTTCACTGTCAGAACCCGAAATGCTCCATTCGTCTGCGCTGAGGCTTGCTGGCGAGTGCAGCTCCTGAGGGCGACATCGCCATGGAAATGCGTGACACATTTGTTGATGAGTTGTCTGTTTCCAGATGGACACCTTCCTTCCCAGCGCCAGCCTTTGAGAAATGGAACAGACCATTTTTTTAAAGTATTTACTTTGTATAAATTGTGGCTTCTCTAAGGGTCTTGCTGGCCTTTTGTTTTGTTTTGTTTTATACCACAACGGATTTTAGGCAGTGTGTTGTGTAAGTAATAATGATAGGTCTGGCTTTGTAGTCATGGCTGTTTGTTTTTTCTTTCTTTGTATTCTGCATCGGCCAGCCAGCCGTGGTTGTTAATGACACACTAAAACCTATCCTCTTTTTGAATTGGTGATGATTCTGCCTTGATGTGTGTTTTTTTTTTAAAAAGGCTGTATTTGGGATAATGCTGCTTTGAAAGTCATGTAGCCAGCGGGTTTCCCATTTCATTGAAGAAAAATATTAGGAAAATATTAATAGGTTGTCTACTACTTTCAATTCAGTTGTGTTCCCTGGAGGGTAAAAAAGCAAATGAAGACTGAATATTGCTAGACCGCTCAGGGAGTGTGGACAGTGGGCTATGGTGGGTAGGTAGAGAGGAAGGGGCGAGGCAAGGGGGGATCTTCTTGAGGGCAGACCCTTTGCTGTGCATTGGGCAAAGTACCATCTCAGAAGGTTCTGCTTAAGTCCTAAAATGTTGTGCTTTCCTTCTTATCATCGGAGGGGTAGGATCCTACAGATGGTCATAGAAAACCACCGAAATTATGTTTAAACAGTGTGTGTGTGTGTGTGTATAACTTATGTTTAAATAGAGACCAGAAATACTTAAGATCACAGTTTAGTCCAGTGAAATGTTAGTTTATCCAAGTGAACCATGGTTTATAAATATTAACGTCCCAAACTGAAGTTAGGGAGGCTCATAACTTTTTTTTACCTTTATTTTTATCTCTGTGTAATTATACTGGAGGCATAATTTGTCAATGTCTTTTTTTTTTTGGTAATTAACAAGTGCTTTTTTAACTTCTGAATAAGTAATCCTTAATTAAATGTGTCTATTTTGTTCATTTACTTTCCTTTTTTTTCTCTTAATACAAATTGGAATGTGAAATTCTTTTGTGTTGTCACTGTGGATCAGAGTCCACTGATTAACTTGTTAATACATTTAGGACTCTGTATTCCTGAAGGCTCATTACTGTAACCTCACACCAGTCTTTCTAATTTCTTTAGAAAGAAGCAGAATCAATAACTACCTTGAATTGTCAGGTGGAAAAAACAATTGGCTTAGCCTGAACATGGAATCTTTATTCAGATACATGCAAATGTACTACTTTCGTAAGGTGATCATTTTGAGAAACATTTGAACAGTATAATTACTTGGGAAAATGTTACTTTAGCAGACATCTTTGGGGGTAGTGTGTTAAGGGTTATTACATTACAACTTCCTGAACTGAAATGCAAACTCTCTTAGCGATAAACATCTGTCTTTCAGGTAGCCCATCATAGGCATTATTCCATGCCATATGCTAGGCAATCATCAGTTTGTTGATTGGTGAAATTTTCCACTTGCACAATTTCTGTAATTTTTCCAACAAATTAAAGATGACTCGAACTCACACCTATTTAGACCTTAGGGTTCCCAAGTCATTTCCTGTTGACAGGAATCTGATGGAAGCGTCACCGTCATTACCAAACTGCTGCCGTGGGGAAGAGCTTTATTCCAGACTTTGTCTTGTGATGTGTACTGAGATTGAGATTTATTGTACTCTCTCTTCTCTCTGGCTGTTGGGAAGTCTAGATCCTGTTACCTAGAGGCCCACTGCCTCTCCAGTCTTGAGTGATATACCTGTTAGCTCCCTTAGATACTGTGGCTCTTCATGCATGTGACTGTAGAGAGAGATTAAAGTGTGTGTGCGTGTGTATGCACGCGCGTGCGCTCATGTGTGCAGCATATGAAGTAATTGAAGACTGCTCCACATTTAATATGGGGATCACAAATAGGAAAATTTCAGCTCCCTATGGTTTACATCTATTTGTTGATCTATTAAACTCTTTAGTCTTAAGCAATGCTTTGTTTTTGCAAAAGAGGGAAATTAAGGTGTGAATGTCCTGCTGAAAGTTGCTGCCGCAGGCATTTCGAACTAATGTTCTCATGGAGAAAAAGCTTCCTTAGACCATTGTGTGATATGCCCTGGTATGTGTAGATTCTACATCATCTTTAGAGGTGGAATACCCTCCCGTTTCCTCCGCCACCATCTGCTCTCCGTGGAAGGACCAGGCACTGCCACGTTCATTAGCTGCCTTTATGGTGCTGAGCTCTTCCCAAAGGGCAGAAGAGAGCACCTCCCAGAAAGAGGCAGGTTAAGCGTATTCCAGATTGTTTCAAATGAACCACATAGAAACGCTGCAGGGAAAAAGCTCTGACAAATTACGCTACTGGGGGCTTTTCTCAGTGACACTTTTCTACCATTGTGAAAAAGTTATAAAATGTCTTTTCTTTTTTTGGTGCTCAGATGAGTATAGGATCAAACCGGTGGAAGAGGTCAAGTACATGAAAAATGGGGCAGAAGAGGAGCAGAAAATAGCAGCCAGGAACCAAGAAAACTTGGTAAGATTGCATTTCTCGTATAACAATGAATTTTGGTGACACCATTGTAATAAAATCTGCCCTGCATGTTTCAGCTGTAACTTACACATTGGCACAAGATTTCTTGAAAATGCTATTGCTATTTATAGCTTGCCTGGAAGCTGCACGATCACTCCTGTATCCTGTTTGTTCCTGAATAAGCCCTTCTTTAATCTTGATAGAGAACGCTCCCCGGGGCGGGGCGGGGGGGGACGGATATAGCAAAATTATTAGCGTCTTAAAATGGTTAAATGTAAAGGAAAAGGCATGAAGTAGGATTGAGATTTATGGGGGGAGGACCAATGTATTTTTTTCCTTTTCGTTCCACCTCTTTCACTCTTACCCAGTCAGAATGAAGCTTCATTACTCTGGACACCGAGTGTTGTGGATAAAGTTGCCTTTGAGAGGATATGTCTCTATCAAAATAGTCAGCAGTTCACATTCACAGTGTTAAAGGTATTGGGGCTTTTGAGTGAATGTGAGAATGGCAGTGATCTGAAACAGAAAGTTAGGAGCCTCTTTCTTTCATGTGAATTGGTATACATATTACACCTTAATGTTCCGTCTCTGTGAAAACACGTAGTTAATGCCGTATTCGCTGATTTCTTAAAAGACTTTACAAACTGTTAAGAATGTGCACTTACTCCGTGTGTTAGAGCAACATTGTTTTTGTATTTTATTTTGGGATTAATTATTTGCTATGCTTTTCATGTTTGAGTGGATGTATTTTTAAGAAGCTTGAAACGTCATGAAGTGTTTTCACCTGACTTAAACTCCTTTTTCCATTATGTGCTTTGTTTTTGTTTTTGTGATTTCTGCTACAGCAGAGGGAGTTGGCCAGCGCTCATGAGTATTTCACGCTGTCATTTTCTGTGATACATTAATGAACATAATGGGCTAATTCTTCTCTCCTCTGTTCTTCTCTAAACATCCGATCTACACCTTAAAATACTGAAGTTACCAACAACTGGCTATTTTAGATCATTATAAAAGGGTGGAAATACTCTGCAATAAAATTTTGCTTCATAAATGGGATTTGGATTTTAAGGTATTGCTTGAGTCACAGAGATTCATCATATGTATGCTCTATTTTAACATTAGCTCTTAGATCTAGAAAACAGTAGCTACGACTAATAGTGGGAGTTACTATGATCCGACTTTTTACATGAATTTTTTCTAACTTTGAATAGATAAATAGATGACCCAAGGAGTTGAAGCATCAGTTGGTTTTTTTCTACTTCATTTTACTGAAAATCAGACTTTGTCCTTTTGCTTGATATAATTTCGGCTTGAGTTATAAATCTCATCTTTAATATTTCCATTGGAGGCTGAAGAGTCTGGCAGTGGTGTTCCTTGGATCTAACGCTAGAGTCCGTCTCTACTTAGCATGCTTGTATCTCTGAAATCCTAAGGGAAGCAACAACATATATCTTACAGCATGTAATATTTTCCTCAGTGTGCCCTCTCGTCATATTTAAAGCCGATACAACTTTTTCCGACTCTCCAATTTCATAGTCTCTCAACTCCTTGGTGCTAATATATTCTTTTCCAGCACTTGGTCAGAATGGGCACTAGTGCTTTTCTGTGCAGACTGAATGAAAATTCAAAAGAGAGAAATTTCTGGGTTTTTGTTTTTTTTTTTACTTGTAGACTATCTGTGACAACCCTCACACCCCTTTTCTGCCAACCAATCAGAGTCCACACCACCAACAGGAGTTTTCAAGAGTATAATGACTTTCATGGAGAAGGAGGAGTAAGTGGTTATCTTTGATTCTGAGATTTCTAGGCAGCTTCCCAAAATTAAATGATTTTTCAGTTGTCTGCTGGTATATTATCTTTGTCATCTGCTCCGTCCTTTGGGATGCATAATCGAGTATGGACCATGCATGTTGTTTGAGAAAACTAATAGGTCTCCTAAATTTGAAGCTTGCATTGAGGTGGACGAAATAGATGAAACAATTCTTTATTTTTCCATCCACTAATAGAATCTAAAAGACAAGAAGTTCTTGTTTTTAGTATTTTTAGAAGCTTTTTTTTTTCTTTTTACTCTAACTGTTAAAATTAAGGGGCTCAGCAAACTCAGTCCAGATAGTGTGGCATGCTGGTGACGACCATGGGTTTTGGAGGCAGAAACTGCCTGGGTTCGGATCTCAGCTCTGCCCCTTGCTCAGTGTGGGGTCAAGTTACTTCTATTCTCTGCACCTCCTGCCCATCAAGTGGGGAAAAGGCAGGGCCTCAGGGTGCCACAGTGAGGACAACTTGAGATGAGCATTGTAGGGCTTGGAGTACAAAGCCTGGCACATGGTAAGCACCTAGTATGAGTTAGGCATTATCATATAAAATAAATGGAAAAGAATGTTAGGGTCAGTGTTTCTTTCCTTTTTCTTTTATGTTACTTGGTGAGAGGTTTCTAAATGAATACTTTAGGTTAATGTCAGTATAACATGTATTTTGAAAAATCTTGCTCAGGAACTATGAAGTTATTTAAACAAGTATGTTTCGATCACCTGTTATGGACAAGGCCTTTATTTGTATCAAGAGACATGGCAATACTTAAAGTCACTGTCCTCAAAGAACTTACAGCAAAGTTTAGAGAACAGTTCAGTTCCAACAAATATTTTATTGATTGCCTCTAGGTACCAGCCTCTGTACTAGACTCTGCAGAAAAACACAAAATAAGGAAACCACTGACCCTTACCTTAAGGTGCTCTATGGTAGTAAACAAGGTGAATACCAAAGGACTATAAATAAAACAGGATTAAATACATAAAGAAATGCATAAATCAATCAAGCGAGCAAGATTGACTCCAAGAAGGCAATACAAAGTGCTGCTGATATCAAAGGAGGCAGAGATCTTGTCTGTTGGAGTGTCTGGACCTACTTCATGAAAGAGCTGTTGTTTGCAATGGGCCTCGAAGGATAGGATGAGGAAGGTTGGCCCAGGCAGAAGTGACAGAGATGGAAAATGCAAGGTATATTTAATGAAAAGCATGTAGTCCTGTTTGGGGAGTAGGAGGGAAGAGAAGGTGTCAGTAGGACAGCAGGGGGAAATTACAACCAAAATGTAGATGGGGTGTTATATAGAGCCTTCATGTCCAGCAGAGAGGTCTGAAATGAATTCCATGGATCACAGGGAACCTTTGAAGGTTTCACGCAAAGCATTGACAGAATGAGATTACGAATGAGGAAAGTTTATGTGGCAGCAGTGGGTGTCGTATGGATTGGTGTGGGGAGCCTGGGTTGGAGATCATTTATAATAGCTTTTGCAAGAGACAATGAGCCTGAAGCAAGATGGTGGCTGAGAGAACAGAAAAGATTTGGACAAAGTTGCAGTAGAAGCAACAAGATTTGATAGCTTGTTATAGATGTCTAAAGAAGGCAGAGGAATCAGAAGATCATGGTAATTCCCATGGCCACTGGGGGAAGAGCACTGGTGGATGTGAGAATAAATAGTGACATCAAACAAAATGGGAAAATCACTTAGGAAGATAGGGTTTGATGAAAATACAAGAGGTTTATTCCTTCCCTCCTTTTTGTTCATTCGTTATTCATTCTGGCCCACCCTTAAAAACATTACAGTGTAGTCCACAAGAGAGAAAGTGAAGCTGCTGATCACACCGAAATGTAATGAGTGCAGTAACAGAAAGCCTGAATTGCCGGGGTCCTTAGACTCTGTGCTTTGGAGGACTCAGAGGTGCATCAGATGTAAATCTCACCTGAGAGAGCTCACTTTCTGGTAGCAGATAGAAGGCATGAGGCCTGAATGACCATAAGAATCCAAGGTACACTGTGAACATAGAGCTTGGTTTTGAGTAAGCAAAGCTGTAGGAACTTGCAGAACATCCGTGTGGAGGAATCTAGCAAAGGACAAAAGTGAGGGTGTGGAGCTCAGGAGCATTGCCTGGGACATGTTAGGTGTTGAGCATATTTTTGTTTGCTGGAGTGGATGGATGCATGAGTGAGTAAGAGTAGTTGGACCTCTAAGTCACAGTAGTTGTCACCTCGTAGTTAGTTGCTCAGTGGTATTTAGATCTCCAGTTGCTTGAGCCCTTTGGCTCCAGTTGCTTGAGCCCTTTGGCTGCCTTCTTTAGACATCTATAACAAGCTATCAAATCTTGTTGCCTCTATGGGTGGAGGAGATTGTGCTGGTTTTCTGAGGGTGATGATGAATCCTTTATAGGTCAATCATTTATGTGTTCTCAGTGCAAAGATGTGCATTTGTCCCAGTTTTCATCATTGTTAGACATCTGTATATTCCGCTTTACTTCTCTCAGACTTTAATTCCTGCTTCAAGAAGGTGATGTGAAATTGTTTCATTGGCTTTGATTATATATAGATATGTATCAATCTAGATCCTAGCTTCGTTGTTTCTAGCTTTGTAATTTTGGTCAAACGTCTAAAAGTTCTGAACTTTGACTTCCTCATCTGGAGCCTGGTAATAACAAAATGATTCAAGTATTAGAAGAAACATAGAAAAATATGTTTAAAATCTTAGCAAAGGGAGGTTTTCTTAAATAAGACATAGAAAGCAAAAGCTTAGAAGACAGAAAAGTAGTTTATTTCATTAGATTAAAGTTAAATACTTTTATGAAACGGAACAACCACAAAAAGGTAGTTAATAGATAGGCAACAGCCTGGGAGAAAATATTTATGACCTCTAAAAGGCAAAAGGTTAATTAATAAGAGATTGATAAAGAATGCTTATAAATAATTAAGAAAAAGATAATCCACGAGAAAAGCAGGTACATGAAATGAACAGAAACAGATGGTTCACAGTAGAGGATATTGGGCAATAAGCATATGAAAAGATGTTCCACATCATTGGTACAATGGATACTCTCTTATCCAACTCGCCGCATAAGAAGACTCTCATAAATCCCTCTCTGAAAGAAGCTGACTGCTGCCTACAGCGTGCTCGCCCAGATGGCTCGTGGTCTACTCTCCAGAACACCTCTGTGCTTGTGCTGCCTCAGTTAAATGTGTTTTCCAAGAGCCCGTGTGGTGGTTCCCAAACCTGTTTATACTGGTTGAATGTCATTGTGATTATGTAATTTATTAAGTAATATGTAAGCCACTGAAACACAAGTGTGGAAAGAGAGCTGTTTCATTGAAAATTAAATTAAGTGCTTTAGAAAGTCTTGATGAAGGCACATGACTAAAAAGCTTGCTGTTAAATTAAATTAAATTAATTTCTGCACTCAGATTATTTCACAACATCTTTATATTCTCACTTCAGTTAAGAAACCAAACGAGGGGGATCTTAGATGTGCTTTATAAGGGTGTGGTTAGTGCAGGAGGAACACATGAACCTCCGTGTGTGGTTCCTTACTTGAAGCAGAAGCCTTGTTCCTACGTCAAAAGGTGAGAGAGGAAATGAACATCTATGTATTTTAAAATAAAATCGTATTTTGCTTAGTGTATATTTACATCTTTATGTAGCCCTGCTTTAACTCACT